TGACCATGTGGTGCACGCCATTGTGCCTTCACAGACGTGATCAAAGGAAATGGTCTGTAAACTGTGAAACACTGTAACATTTCCCTGAGCAAAGCTAGCACACACTTTCTTGACTGTGTAAGGTTTCAATGCCAAGGAAATATGACTGAATCCTACCATGTTTCCACAATTCACAGTGTGCTGTAAAAATAAACATGCAGAAGGCATACAATCAGAATCTGAATGTCATTGCCAACCTAGCCAGAATTTTTGTTAAAAATTGTTATCTGGAGAAACAGATGAAAGAATTTAATCCATTTTTGGAAAACAAAAATAATATTTCATTTTGCTGCCATCATCCAAAAAATTACTAACCCCAATACTGTGATACTCTCAAGTGACTCCAAGTCTTTGAAGGGATATCTTGCAATTCTGAAATTAACTAATAATTCACTTCCTGTATTTATAACAATTATAGTTATCATAGTTGTCACTTCTGGAAAAAATCTGGGAAACAATGACCTATATTTTCTGTATCTTCCCCAACACCTCTAAATGAAAACATAATGCGGTTTATAATCTATGCAACCTTTTGTCTATCTATAATTTCTAAAATTAGCTTTAGGTATCTATATAATAAAACTCAGTAAAGTAACATTATAAGGGCTCTTCAAGAATAGGGTGGGCATTTGGCACAGAGATTAAGTCACAGCTTGGGATACCTGCACCCTACATGGGTGTGGTGACTGTGTTAGAGTCCCAGCTCCTCTCCCCATTCCGATTTCTTGAAAAGGGGAACACACCCTGGGAAACAGCAAGTTCCCTACACCTGCCCACCTTCTAAAGGATCCCTTCATCAAATCCTCAAGCTCAAGTACTTGGGTTCCTGCCTCCCACATAAATATAGCTTTTACTTCAATTTTTTCCAAAAATTTTTAAAGTACCCTTGACTCTTTATATCTTTTAATTCTCTGAATAGAAAGTAAAAATGATTCTTAAATTATAGGTAGAGGGGAAGGTATTTTTGTCTAGAAGTTACAATGCTGGCTACGATGCTCACTTCCCATATCAGTCTCAGCTCCTGATTCCAAATTTCTGCCATTGCAGACCCTAGAAGGAAACAAATGGTAGCTCCTGTAGTTGGGTCCCTGTCAACAACATGACAGGTCTAGACTGAGTTCTGGGCTCCTGGATTTTTACCTGGCCCAGCCCTGGCTATTGTAGGCATTTGGGGAGTTAATCTTGATCTCTCTCTTTTCCTCTCTCTTAAGTATATTCATCCCTTAGTATCCTTGGGAGATTGTTTCCAGGACCACTGCAGATACCAAAATCCACAGGCACAGGAGTTCCTTACATAAAATGACAAAGTATTTGCAAATATACTGTGCATATCCTCCTGTATACTTTGAATCATCCCTTGATTACTTATAATACCTAATGCCATAGGTTATGTCAATCATTGTTATACTGAACTGTTTGGGGAATAATGACTAAAAAAATATGTACACGTTCAGTACAGATGTATTTTTTTGCTGAATATTTCTGAACTGAGGTCGGTTGAATCCATAGATGCACAATCTGTGGCTGAAGAATTCAAGGATACCAAGATCTGGCTCTGTTTGAAAGTCTAAAGCTACATATACACCTGGACAGCATTTTTAGAATGGAATCCCAGGTCAGTATCAACCTCCAGCCCATCTGTGTTGGCTGTGTAGCACTTCACTTCTCTCACTACATATTCAAGAGTACTTATGCAATACTCTTGCTTGGAGGAGCCCAGAATTTCATGGCCAACCAAACTGTACAGAGAAAAGATTTTCAACTCTGATTCCACAAAATATCTCTTTATTAAAGAGTTTTTACATTATCCCCTTAACTGGTAAATTCTTTGTGATTAAGTATTGTATTCTTATAGTAATTTTAAGGACAAAGTCTATTTCTAAAGTCATTTCCTGGTACACTGTATATAACTGAAATCTAACTGAATTAGTATGGCAATGTAACATCGTTGGACATTTTTCAATCAAAGGATATGTTCAATTGCATAATTTGAGGTTGCACAAGACAGAAATTTCATGGGGACTTATTTTCTCAAAGGCAGTCTGAAAGTGTTCTCTTCAAATTTGAAACATGCATACCTTTTCAATTAAATGGACCTGTTTCTAGGAACTCAACTACAAGAAATCCTCACACATTACAAGAAGACCTGTGAACAAAGATCTTCAATCTTTCTGTTTGCAACAGTGAAAATGGAAAATTGATTAAATAAAATATGGTACAGCCATACAACCAAACGTTATGCAAAGTTAGAAAAAACAAGGTAACTATTATAGTGACATGGAAAGATCTCCACAATATATAGTTAAGGAAAGAAAGCAAGTCACAGAAAAATGTGATATATAGTATGATCCAGTTGATGTAATAAGGAAAAGAATGGAATGTGGTTTTTTAATGTATTTGCATAGAAACAAGAGACAAAGTCGCTCTAAAAAGGATGCCAATAATTATATCTGGGGATAGGTGTAGTGGAAAAACATACTTTATATTTTGCTTCTATATTTCTGCATTGTCATTTCAAGTGGAACATACTAATGCATCACTGACACCATTTTAAAAGCCAATGGAAACAAAAAATAGAAGAAATTCAAGAGCGCTTTGGTGACATGTCCGATGGCAGTACATCCAACAGATACGAGACATGCCTATCTCAAAGGGTCTGCGCTTTCATTTGATGTGGTATGGTCCCTAATCTGAGAACAAAAAAGAAAACGAGGTCTGTTAAGTAGACTGCACCTTGAAACACTAACCTACAGAAACAGATCTACATTCTATACGGTAAGGACAAATATAGCAAGTACCAAATAGCCAGGGGGACATCTTGTGACTCCTTAGAGTTCAAGTCAGTGACGCAGACAAGAGAACCTCCATGCCCCATAAATGAAGTCACCCATTTCTCTATACTTAGGTGTTCTTATTTTCAAGGAACACCAAAAATTAGGAGAAAAATCCCATGTCCTAGCTCCTTCAACTTGGTATACATGCTAACACTGCAGAAACACTGAGGAAGAAATTACAAATCTAGGCTTTCAGAACTTGAAATCAATACACACTGCAAATAAATGGCTATCATATTTCCATAAGAAACTTAACAGCCAAAAAAAAAAAAAAAAGGAAAACAAAACTCCTGATATTTTCTAGTCTGCGGTGCTTCCAAGCACTTAGTTGACAAAAGGCTCAAAATGGGAGCTCTTGGGCCAGAATCCTTCCACAAATGCGTTTTGTTTGGCCCCATCATGGACTGACACATTCGTTTTTATTTTAATTATTTCCAAGCATTCTTAAATGAGATTTCACACTTGGAATAAATCGGGATTTCATGCTTCTCTCGAAAATGCAGAGGTGATGGCAGCACTGGGCCCCAGAACAACCTGGGAAGAAATCCGTCAGTCCGGCAATGCAGCTGCTCCCTGTAAAGGGGCACAGCGGGGCTCCTGAATGGCTACCAACCCCACCACTCCCAAAGGTCTCTTCTACACAGTCAGCCACAGTCTGACACTGTACTTACCCAGCTCTTGTAGGAGTCAGAGAACACAACACCCTCAGTGAAACCTTAGGAAACTCCAGGACCTTCCAGAAAATTAAAATTATTTTGAGGATACCCCACAGTAGCATTTGCAACCTCCCTATCTCAGACTTTTGTTCATGCAACTGCAGAAACGGAAGACCTACAATTAGACGAGGACACACCTTCCAAATGCCCATTAAGATTGAAGCCAGGACAGATCTAGAGCCAGGAGCCAGAAACTCAATCCAGGTCTCCCACACACGTGTCAGGAATCCAGTCACTTATCACCACTGCCTCCTAGGGTTTGCATCAGCAGGATGCATTCAGGAGCCAGACCCAGGGATCAAACGCAGGCACTCTGATATGGGACACGGGTGTCCTAACCACTAGGCTAAGCACCCACCCCAAGCATGTACCACTTTAATGGCAGGTAACATAACACAGTAGTTAAAAGTTGGAGTTCTGAGGTCAGCCTACCTGGCTTTCAATCCCAACTCTAATTCCCTGGGGTGATTACTATATGAACTGAAGACACTGTTAGGCTATTGGGAGCACTAAATGAAGTGGCACATTTTAAGAGCTCTACAAATGTCTACTGTTTTATTCACTTTGGTTTGGAGCTGTTAACTACATAAAGCAGAAAACCCGAGTGCTCTCACTGCAGCCCTGAGGGAAATCAGGAGTCATGACGCCTCCTTCTAAACATCAGAGGTCCCCAAATCCTTCTAGCAGGGGCCTCTCTCCTTCCAGGCCTAAATGGCTAAATATGATCTTTTTAAAAATCCTCTCTGGGAGACACAGATGCCCTGGGCATAGCATCGAATCACCGATTTGTATTTCGAAACCTCAGTCACAGAATTTTTATGCTGTTCAGGCTGAGCTAACATGTGATCCCCTTGTCCAAAAGCTGACAGAGGGTTAGGCGAGTCCAAAGGAAGATCTTGCAATTCATGGTAGTGCCATGGGGCTACTGGAACTTTCTGTACTTACAAGAGGGCACAGCAAGTGTCCTGTATAAATTTTATAGGACTTTTTTAACTGGCACATAATGAGTATGTATATTTACGGGGCACAGTGTGGTGTTTCAACACAGATATGCAATGTACAATGATCAAGGATAAGTACTCAGCATATTCACCACCTCATCTATCATTTCTTTGTGCTATAGACACTCAAAACCCTCTCCTCCAGTTATTTTGAAACAAACATTATTTTTTAACTACAGCTTCCAGACTGTGCAACAGAACACTAGAATTTATTCCCACGCTCTTAGACCTGTTGTCAAACTCTATTTCCTCCCCCTTCACCTTTCTTAGCTCCCAGTAACCACTATTCTCAGTCTACTTTGTATGGATAGGTCAATACCATTTGTCCCTATGGAGGCAGGGAGATTAATAATACTCTAGTAGGAGGAGGAGAGGGGGCAGTAGTGACTGTATCAGGGGTAACTCAGTACCTTGTATCCTGTGCAGTGCAGTGCCAGCCACTTGAGTCCTATGAGGTTACTCATTTCATCATTTTACAGATGGGGCAACTGAAGCTCAGAGTAGATGATCAGGGTCACGGTGGCCAATGTGGGCCACTGTCAGAATGGAGCCAGGGGGCAGGGTAGCATCATCGTGGTGTCATGGGTTAAGCTGCCACTTATGATGCCACCGTCCTGTATCACAATGCCAGTTTTAGTCCCAGCAGCTCTGCTTCTGAACCAGCTTCCTGCTAATGCACCTGGGAAGGCAGCAGAAGATGGCCTAAATACTTGGGCCCCTGGCATCCATGTGGGAGAACAGGATGAAAATCGGGGCTCCTAGCTTCAGCTTGGTCTAGATCTGGCCATTACTGGCATTAAGGAGTGAACTAGCAGATGGAAGATTCTCTCTCTCCCTCTCTCTCACTTGCTCTCTCTCTCTCTCCTACTTCCTCTTCTCTCTTGTCACTCTGCCTTTCAAATAAACAAATCACTATAAAAAAAAATTGAGCAGTTGAGCTCCAGTCTGCCTGATTCTTGTCCCTGAAGGTCTCGGTAACTTGACACTGATGAAAGCAAATGCACAGTGCAGCCCCTGAACTGGGCACCCAGCTTGGGGAGAAAGCTCTTCTAGCAAGGGTATAAATTCTTTACTTCATGTGATCATGGACCTCTCCTCTGCAACCAGGTAAATTCTATAGCCCCTTCTCAACATTTGGTTTTTCTTACTATTTAACTTGAGAGGCAGAAAGAGACAGAGGCAGAGGCACACAGAGAGACATAGTGCTCTCATCCCCTGGTTCATTCCCCAGATCCTTACAACAGCCAGAGCTAGGCCTGGGTCTGAAGCCTGGAGCAGGGAACTCAAACCAGGTCTCCCAAGTGGGTGGCAGTGACCCAATCACTTGAGCAATCACTGCTGCCTCCCAGATTCTGCATTAGCAGAAGATGGAATCAGGAGCTGCATATGGGGATCAAATCCAGGTACTCTCATGTGGAATGCAGGCATCTTAATCAGGGTCTTAGCCACTAGAACAAACGCCTGCCCCGGTATAAACTTTTTTAAATAGATAAATATTTAAAAGTACAATGGGAGGCCAGCGCCGCAGCTCACTAGGCTAATCCTCCACCTGCAGCGCTGGCACCCCAGGGTTCTAGTACCGATTGGGGTGCCGGATTCTGTCCTGGTTGCTTCTCTTCCAGTCCAGCTCTCTGCTGTGGCCCAGGAGGGCAGTGGAGGATGGCCCAAGTGCTTGGGCCCTGCACCTACATGGGAGACCAGGAGGAGGCACCTGGCTCCTGGCTTTGGATCGGCGCAATGTGTTGGCCGTAATGGTCATTTTGGGGGTGAACCAACAGAAGGAAGACCTTTCTCTCTGTCTTTCTCTCACTGTCTAACTCTGCCTGTCCAAAAAAAAAAAAAAAAAAAGCACAATGGCAGTCAATCATATTGAAATATATTAATAACATAATATCTTTAATGGGCATGTATGGTAATACATGTGTTTCTTTACAACTCACAAAGATCTAGAAGTGGTTATCTGTCACTTGGAAGTAAGTGAAAGCAAAGATGTAATTAATTTGTCAGCTACACTTGTAGTCCCACCCACCTTCATCCTCAGACCCCACAGGGGTGGACTTGAAGTGAAGAATTCCTGTTCTGGGGGAAGAATGGGAAATGCCAAATGCAAAATCAGTAGTCTGTAATCTCTTTTCTGTGGATGAGCTGCTTACAATTAATCACTTCGAGTTACATTTTTCTTCCAGCTTCTAAGGAAATGGTTACTTCAATTTATTCATGTCAGGGAGCCAAAAACATCCTTTAATTGTTCAAGAGGAAAAGAATGCTTTAGAAAGGCAATCTATCTTAAAGCAATGATTTGCCTGGCCTAGGTTGTGTCAGCAGCTAGGGGTGGAATTTCCCAATCTTCAGCACACCAAGGAATCACGGGAGACGAGCTGTTAAGCAGGCTGCCAGTCAATGGGAAGAGATCACACTACTCTGTGGTCACATGGTGTGCAACATTCACACTGAAGGCTTATTAAGTAGTAGGCGAGAGAGGTGTTCAGAGAAAAATCTTCTGATTAAAGTCCCTTTCAACTATTTTGATTCCATAAAGTAAAGGAAGAAAAATGCGGATGGAATTCCTGCATGGAACATAAAAACTCCGGGGCCACTCATGTCCTTAGCACATGGCTGAGACTTGAAAAGTAGCGCATTATTACTTTCCTCTCTAGAAACTTGGGTTACACCTTCCTCACAGGACAAGCATCGAGAGAGGCGTGAGCTTCCAGCCAGACTCTTACAAAGTGGGATGTGGAGGCAGCTGTAGCAACACAGAGCAATGCACTGGCAAATAAACATGATTCTGGGATATTTTTGAAAGCACTCTTAATTCCAACAAAGACATTTTAGGCAAACTTCTCATTCTTCCATTCAATAATGTGTTATCATCCGTGTGTGCTTCCACTGGTATGGGGGAAGTAAATTCATTTTTATATTTGGTTAGCTACAGAATCACAGCCTCTGCGAGCTAGCAGGACTAGTGGTTAAGATGCCCCCTTCCCATACTGGACTTGCTAGGTTCAAGACCAGGCTCTGCTCCCAATTCTAGCTTCCTGCTACGCATCCCCTGGGAGGCAGCAGATGATGGCTCAAGTAGTTGAGTTCTAGCTCCTGGCTTCTGCCTGGCCCTGCCTCTGCCCTTAAGGGCATACGGCTGGTAAACTAGCAAATGGGAGTTGTGTCTCTTTCTCTGCTTTTCTCTGGCCTCTCTTCCCTTTTTAAAATATTTATTCATTCATTTATTTATTTAATTGGAAAGCAGAATGAAAGAGAGAAAGATCTTCCATCTGCTGCTTCACTCCCCAAATGCCTACAACAGCCATGGCTGAGCCAGGCCAGAGTCACTAGGAATCTCATGAGGGTCTCCCACATGGGTGGCAGGAACTTAAGTATTTGGGCCATAATCCTCTATCTCCTAAGCACATTAGTGGAAAGCTAGATTGGAGGCAGAGGAGACAGCACTAAATCCCAGGCAGTGTGATACAAGATGTGGGCACCCCAAGCAGTGGCTTAACCCACTGTGCCACAACCTCTGCCTCTCAAAACACAGCATTTTGGCCAGCGTCGCGGCTCACTAGGCTAATCCTCCGCCTTGTGGCGCCGGCACACCGGGTTCTAGTCCCGGTCGGGGCGCCGGATTCTGTCCTGGTTGCTCCTCTTCTAGGCAAGCTCTCTGCTGTGGCCCGGGAGTGCAGTGGTGGATGGCCCAAGTGCTTGGGCCCTGCACCCCATGGGAGACCAGGAGAAGCACCTGGCTCCTGGCTTCGGATCGGCGCAGTGCACCGGCTGCAGCGCCGCCGGAGCGGCCATTGGAGGGTGAACCAACGGCAAAGGAAGACCTTTCTCTCTGTCTCTCTCTCTCACTGTCCACTCTGCCTGTCAAAAAATAAAATAAAATTAAAATTAAAAAAAAAACAGCATTTTTTTTAAAAAATCACCACCTCTGAACATTTTATCATTCTGAAGTACCATGAGATAAATAATATTACAAGTTGAGGGAGCATTTCTACTGTAAAATGGAAGACATCATCAAATAAAAAAAAACTATTAAGCAGAAAAAACCTGTGCATGGTTATTCTATTTCCTGTATATGATAGGGAAGTAAGAAGGTGTAGAATGGACAGCTCTGAGAAATAAGCAGCACCCTTACAAACACTTAATATCTGAACACTCAGGGCAAAACCAAAGAAAGCCACTGCCGCTGCCCATCAGTAAGGGAAAGCTCCGTTTGTCTGGGGGATAGGTGGGTAAGCCTACGCTGAGAGACTTGAAGTTAACACTACACAGTGAAAGCAGCCCTTGGAGAAACTTCAGTCTGGACATGAAATACCAACAGTGATCACTAAAGCAACTCCATCAGTCCTTGACCTCATTCTGCATATCAAACACACAAGTTCTTGGTTTTACAGGGACTCACTGTGATAGACGGTTTATTAAAAACCTGGGTCATCCGTGCCAATAAACATACGGTTTCATCCTTACTTTAGAAGTGATCGCAAATGATAAAAATCTGGTCATGATTTGAAATTTCGAAGAACATTTATACTTCCCCAAAAATATTTGAGTTTACTATTTAAGGGTATTTGTGGAAAACATGAAAAATACGTAACCTTTCTTTCCCATGACTGCAATACCTAAGGGCTCTGATCTAAAAAGATAACATTTATTCTCAACATAAGATTTTAAAATTAAAAAAAAATCAAATGTGGAAGTTAACTTCTACTGTGTATTTTCAAGTAATCTGCAAGGAAAAAAAAAAACGCATGGATTCTGATTGTTGAGTTTGCAGGCTACATCTGAGAAACTGGGAGTGAAAATATGGGCTCTAAACTCAGAAACTAATTTCACTTATATCACATCCTCTCACAAATCAGCATGCCAATGTGATCAACTCAAGGAAAACCACACAGAAGCCTTGAAGTTCAATTTTACCTGGAGGGTGGGATAGGGATGTATTCTGGGCAAGTACTTAGTCATCATTTTAATTTGAATAAATCAAAGCCCAAATGGATTTCCTAGTATCCTAGGAAAATACCACGTTCATTGAAATTGTCAAAGATAACTGTCCCACGTTGCCAAAATCAGCAATATACATTAATCTAAAGACAGTTGGATTTGTTCTTAGAAAAAACAAAATAGCTGCATTACACGCACTGACTGGTCTTTGCAGGGGGCGAAATATTTCTGAAGTGATACAGATTTTAAAATCAACTTCTGCAAAAGCTTGTTGGTAACACAGTATTTTTTAAACTTCCACCTTTCATTATCTCATAAGGCAAAACCACAACACCTCAGGGTTCCAAGGCATGTAAGTAGCTTCATATCACTCACACTTCCAGGCACACAAATATAAAACTTCCCAATGAATATTGTAGAACAAAGCTCTTCTGCGTGGGTGTGCATTTGTAAAATAAAGGTAGAATTATTCCGACAGATGTAAATGTGCACCCAGTGATCAAACTGAGTCTTAAAAATTCTGTTTTGACAGTTACTTGTAGAACAGCATTTTCACAGCGATTAATTCAGAGCTGGGTAATGATACCATCAAAGCTAAATCAAAACTAAGGTGAGATGGTTGAATAATGATATGGTAGTGGGGAGGAGTCTAATGAGTAATCTAACACTAAGTACCTTTAGATAGGTTATAATATGTTACATTGGAAGGGTGCCTAGTTCTGTCAACAAAAGTCTCATATACATAAAAATGCCAATAAAAACTGTTCTTCCATCTAAAGTTTGAATTTTTAAAAAAAACAGGTGTTCTCCCAAGACGCAATGTTATTACACTTCTACAATTCAAAAAGAAGATGACATAACAGATCAATACAACAGCTGAAAAATATGCAAGACTGTCCTATGAAAAACACAGATAGTCAGGGATTACATAACATAGATAGTCAGGGATTACACCACATGCCCCTGTTGTGCTAGATTTTTGGTCTTCTGTATGATTCTATAACTTAGCTCACTGAGGTGTGAAGACTACAAAACACCAGGTCCTCAGCTCAACCGCACAATTTTAAAACCAACACTAAAAGGGTACTGTTAAAATTCTACACACAGTTTTTGTATTCTTAAGAGCACAGTTTATTTCCTTAACCCCCTTTGGAGACTGCCTAGGTAAAGTCACCAGTTGCTTTTCCTGGTCATGTTTACTTTATGAATCTGATTTCTCTTTAAAGGAGAAATTCATTTCCATTTTCAGGTATTATACAGATGCCTATGTTTGGATGACATTATTGCCAACCAAATAGAATTTATTATTAAACAGCTATCTCCACACACCCATAACTTAAATTTATAAACCACCGTGTATTACATTTATGTTAAAAAAAAAAAAAAAGAAACAAAAGAAAGAAAAAGAAAAAAAAAAACCAGCAACCCACCATGAATGTTTTGGTCAAAATTAAATTTCAAACACGTGCTTTAGAACAATGGCTAGAATCACCACAGGAGTTTTTAAAAGTTAGAAGAGTAGGGTCATCTCTCAGCTACATTCGTATTTATGGAAACATAGTGAACGCTTGCATTTCTCTCTAGAAAAACGCTAGTTGTATGACAGTTCGTGATTCTAGATAAAGTTGTACTTGGACACACTTGGAAATTGGAGAATTACGTATTTCCACTTCGCTTCAGTACTGTCTACATAGCCTGCACTCAGAAGTACTGTACTAGATACACAAGATCTAATTCGCTAAGGGAAGAGCAACTTTAAAATTCTGAAAATGAAGTAATCTTTAGTGTCCTTCACTGAAAGGGTTTTAGGAGGCCCGAACGCGGCTGTTTTAGGCGGAAACAGTCCATCATGTCTATGTTTGCCCCACAAGAGGTAGGAAGAGCATACACATCTACATGCGTTGCACGGTGCCAACTATTTCCAACCAAAATAAGCATATACACGTCGAGCCGAGCTATTTCTAGCCCAGAAGCCGGTGCACGTCTGGATCGAGTCTGAGGAAACCCAGTAGGCGATGACTACAGGGGAAAGGGGGTAGCGGCGGGGTCCCCTGCTTCCCCAGCGCGCCGGGCGCCTAGCACCCAGCACCTGCACTCGGTCCCGGCCGGGCATCCGGGTGCGCGCGCGCGCGCGTCCGGGACGCACCCGCCGAAAGCAAACAAGCCCCGCGGGCCGAGGCGGGCGGCAGCATCCTCGGGCGGGACCCGAAATGCCTTCTCCTACCTGTCACTTTGCCTGGAGCCGCTGCCGGGGATGCGGCCACAGCCGCGGCCGGGAGACCCGGGGTGTGCGCGCGCGAGTGTGCGCGCGTGTGTGAGAGAGATCTTGTTGGCGGTGCAGCTCACTTACTGCTCCCGGCGCCACCAACCCCCTCCCCGCCATAAAGAGCCGCCGCCGAGCCCCCTCCCGGCGCGCACCAGTCCCGCCCTCCCGCCTGCCTCCGCCCTCCCTTCCCCGGCCTCCCCGCCTCCCCGCCGCGCGGTCCTTACCTCAGCCCAGGGCAGGGGGCTCCGCGGTGTCTCTCGGGCCAGCCCACGGGGCAGCGCCGGCCGGCTCCGCCGCCCGCCCGCCAGTCCGCCGGGCTCTGCGTGTCCCCTGCTCCGGGCCCCGCCGCCCCTCGTGGCCCGCCGATCCCTCCTCCCCAGCCCCCGAGTCTCCCTCCTCCTTCTCGCCTCCCGGCTCCAGAGCCCGAGCTGTCGCCTCGCAGCCCCAACCTGCCCAGGCTACGGAGCATGCCCAGTGCGGCGCGCCCGAGCTGGGCTGGGGGTGGGCAGGGGCCGGGCAGGCCGCCGGCTGCCGCGAGCCCGCGGGGCGGAGAGGGGGCGCGGGCGGGCGGGCGCGCAGCCTCGCGGGCCGGGGGCCGGGCGGCGGTGGCGGGTGGACGGCAGCGCCAGAAGGTGGGTGGGGCGCCCAGGGAAGCCGCCCAGCTACGTTTTCCTCGGGGGTCTCCCCGGCCGGCAGCCGCAGCACGTGCCCCACGCTAGGTAGTCGAGGTGTGCACAGGGTGGCGTCGGGCGCAGAAGCCAGGTGGGGAGGGGGCGGCGCACCCTCCTGGGCTGGGAGACTGGCAGCCAGCGGGGGACCGCGGGGCCGGGGGTGAGGGTCCGGACTGGCCAAAACTGGTGCCCCAAAACCTCTGGCCCAGATAGGAGTGCTTATTGTTTACATTTTGTTTAACCAACACTTAAAGCGCTTAGGATGTCTCAGTCACCGTTCTGAACGCTTTTTATTCATTTAATCCGTGAAACACTTTTCCAAAACAAGTACCTCTGTATTAGCGCTTTTCTTTCTTACATTGAGCCACAGAGAGATGAAGTGGTTCCCAAAAGTCTTCCCCCAAGTGCAGTCTTAGACATGAAACACCCACACACACACAACTTTGGTCCCTGAGATGCTGGGGCGTTCCCCCGCCCTACAGTGGCCCTCAGGTGCCTCCAAGTCACACTCACACTCAGGCCCTAGCGACATTCTTTCTGGCATCACCCTTTGTGTGGACCCTCGAAAAGAGCGGCTCCAGGACTCCCGGAGGGCTCCTGTCCCTCTTCCACCCCCCTTCTCCTCCCAGCTGGCGGCCACCAAAACCCGGAGACGTGGCACCTGCGCATTGGGGACTGGGGCCACGCTCGAAGCTGAACTGGGCATGCTCAGCCGCCTGAGCAAGTCCGGATGGCCAGGAAGAAAGACAGAACCTGGAGGCGAGTATAGTGTAAGAAATGCAGGGGAAATGTGTGTGCAAACAGCGGTCCAGGCTCTGGGGGGCAAGGGCATTTGGAGACGTAGAAGGCTGGCACACCCTGGCCATTTCCAGGCAGGGCTAAGAGCGGAGGATAGTCATCCAAAGTTTGCCAACTGAGCATCCTTAAAGGGACAAGGGCTCAGTCGACTGACCGCTACCCAGTTAAAATATTAAGCTGCCTCTCTCTGTAACTGTGCCTTTCAAATAAATAAATAAATCTTTAAATAAAAAATATATTAAGCTGCGATTTTAGCTATGCCCTATAAAAACCTCCCGGCAGCTGAGCCTGTTTGCCTGTAAGGAAGCCAAGAAAAGTATATTACTCCAAGTTTCCCCTGCAAGAGTGGAAAGACAGATCCCAGGGAAAAGCTGAGTGGCTCTTCACTGTGCAGAGTTCAGAGTTCAAGATGATCTTTAGTGATGCCACTGTGGTAAGAAAATGCTTCTCAACCTACTGTGGTGGGCACACAGACTGCCTGGGGTCTGGTTACTGTGCAGATTTTGATGTAGTGGGGCTGGGATGGACCTGAGATTCTGTGTTTCTGACAAGTTCCCATACCATGTTGATCTTCCTTAGCTTGGACTTTAGCAGCAAGAGAGAGATTCAGTGTTTTAGGGCTGTCCTCTGCTCTGTGCATGAGAAAACAAAGGCTCATAAGGGTTCAGCAGCCTGCCCCAGGTCACACGGCCAATAAGCACTATAGCTAAATTCAAGCTCAGTTCTCCCCAGGCTCATAATATGATCAACTAGTTCCCACTAACAAAGGAAGAGAAGCCCAAGTCAAGATAGTATGCTGGGACTGGTGCTGAGGCATAGAGGGTAAAGCCACCTCCTGCAGTGCCGGCATCCCATATGGACGCCAGTTTGAGTCCTGGCCGCTCCACTTCCGATCCAGCTCTCTGCTATGGCCTGGGAAAGCAGTAAAAGATGGCCCAAGTCCTTGGGCCCTTGCACCCGCATGGGAGACCCGGAGGAAGCTTCTGGCTCCTAGTTTCGGATGGGTGTAGCTCCAGCCATTGCGGCCATCTGGGGAGAAAACCAGCAGATGGAAGACCTCTCTCTCTGTCTCTACCTCTTACTGTAACTCTGTCTTTCAAGTAAATAAAATAAATGTTGGAAAAAAAAAAAAGATAGTGTGTCATACCTCTGTTTGCTAATGTTCTGCCCAAAGACAGTCACATGGCCTTGGCCAGGTTCTTGTCAGAGAGGAGAACTTCATTTTTGATGGGAGCAGATGCAAAACAGAGTAGCCTTTCTTCTTCAATCTACCACAAATAGCAGCCTCCACAGAACCAACCCTGTGGCACCAGAGTTTACTCAATGTTTCATAGATTAATCCTCTCTCTCATCATATACAATGCTAAACAAGATCACAGTAATCTTTTCTGTTCTTGTTACTGTAAGGTCTTCAATTTAATATTTGATCTATTAAGGAATCTCAACCTAGTGGGTTATAACCATCAAATAAAATTTTCCCTAATTCCTAAGTTCAATTTGACTATGTTGGAGCCTCCTTTCCTTCCCTTTAATGGTATATGACACTGTCATTCATTCAACAAATATTTTTGAAAAGCTATCATGTACAAGGCACTATTCTTTGCCAAGGATAATAAGGTAACAACAAACAAAATCAATGCCATTATAAGGCTTAGATACTATCAGAAGATACACACAGTAGCACATCAAAAACACAGGAATATGGCCGGCGCCGTGGCTCAATAGGCTAATCCTCCACCTGCGGCACCAGTACCCCGGGTTCTAGTCCCCATCGGGGCACCCGATTCTGTCCCGGTTGCTCCTCTTCCAGTCTAGCTCTCTGCTGTGGCCCGGGAAGGCAGTGGAGGATGGCCCAAGTGCTTGGGCCCTGCACCCGCATGGGAGACCAGGAGGAAGCACCTGGCTCCCGGCTTTGGACTGGCGGAGCGTGCCAGCCGTAGTGGCCATTTGGGGGGTGAACCAATGGAAGGAAGACCTTTCTTTCTGTCTCTCTCTCACTGTCTAACTCTGCCTGTAAAAAAAAAAAAAAAAAAAAGAGAGAGAGAGAGAGACAGAAAAGAAAAGAAAAAAGAAAAAAAAATCACAGGAATAGTGATAGGCCTTTGGCGAAGCAAACACCCTTTGAGTGTTCACATCCCAGCTCTGTTTCTTATTTCACTTCCTGCTAAAATGCAACATGGGAAACAGCAGTCCTTTAAGCACTTCATTGGAAACACAATTACTCGGGTCCCTGCCATCCACTTGGGAGACATAGATGGAGTTCTATGGCCAAGCCCTAGCAGTTGTGAGCATTTAGACAGTGAATCACTGGATTGAAATCTCTCTCCCTCTCTTTCTGCCTTGCTAATAAAATGAAATATATAAGGACACTTTGGAAATAGTGTAGAAATGGAATTAAGCAATAAATTCATTGTGGTGCAAAAAAAATTGGTGCATAGTCTCTTCATAGTGTTCATCTTCTATGACATGGAGTAACGCTAAGAACCGCCATACGAAGGAAAAGGAAAAGGTTTCTTGAGATGAGGTGGAGGGACTGCTTCTTTAACTAGGACTCAAAGATAGCCTCTCTGAGGATGCAGAATTTGAGTGGAACCTGAATGAGGAGAGATATGAATATGTGGGGAATAGCATTTCCAGCAAAGGGAACAGCCAAAGCCCTACATAAGAATGTGTTTGGCATGATCAAGAAACAGAATACAGAGCAGAGCAGAACAGAACTGGGGTCACAGAAGCAGCAGGGGCAGGAGCCAGTTCGAGACCCTGTGGTTCCATTTCCTCTCCAGTTCCCTGTTAAAGGCATGGAAAAATACAGCAGAAGATGACTCAAGTGTTTGAGCCCTTGCCACCCATGTGGGAGACCCAGATGAAACTCCTGACTCCTGGCTTCGGCCTGTCCCAGCCATGGCTGTCGAAGCTATCTGGGGAGTGGACAAGCAGATGAAAGATTTCTCTCTCTTTTTCTGTCTCTTCTTCTCTCTCTGTGATTCTGACTTTCAAATAAATAATTTTTTTAAAAAAGTGTTGAGTGGGATTGTGACACTATGTAATTGAAACTTTGGAGATAACTCACATTGGAAATTCCTGTAGGAACAAGAACAGAAAAAGGGAAACACTTCCCAGATGGCCTCAATGGCTGGCACTGGGCCAGGTCAAAGCCGGGAGCCAAAAGCTTCTTGCAAGTCTCCCATATGGGTGGCAGGACCTCAAGAACTTGGGCCATATTCCACTGTTTTCCCCATGCCATTAGTAGGGAGCTGGATTAGAAATGGAGCAGTGGATTAGAAGTGGACACCAGGGGCCGGCGCTGTGGCGCTGCAGGTTAATGCCCTGGCCTGAAACACCAGCATCCTGGGCGCTGGTTCCAGTCCTGGCTGCTCCACTTCCGATCCAGCTCTCTGTGGTGGCCTGGGAAAGCAGTAGAAGATGGCCCAAGTCCTTGGGCCCCTGCACCCACGTG